GTTAATTACCATGTTTCTCTATTATTAGATAGGATGGGAGGGTCACTGGTGTCTTACACAGGGTGAGAAAAGCAGGTTTACAGTTGTTCGTATGGGAAATAATGCAATCCTATCTAATAAAGAGGGAATATGCTAATTGACCCTCACGCTATTGCAAAGATGGAGGTGCCCACAGCCAGTAAGGAGGGAATATGCTAATGGACTGCCCCGTCCTCAAAGATGGCGGGGCCCATAGCCAATAAGGAGGGAATATGCTAATGGACTGCCCCGCCCTCAAAGATGGCAGCGCCCACAGCCACAAGATGGCCTGCAGGGGAGGGCAGTTGGGGGTAACAAGGCTGGCAGGGGAGGGCAGTTGGGGCGATTGGACCAGCAGGGGAGCAGTTAGGCGTCGATCAGGCTGGCAGGGGAGTGGTTAGGGGGTGATCAGGCTGGCAGGCAGAAGCGGTTAGGGGCAATCAGGCAGGCAGACAGGCAAGCAGTTGGGTGCCAGCAGTCCCAGATTGTGAGAGGGATGTCCGACTGCAGGTTTAGGCCTGTGGGATCGGGCCTAAACACCCTTCGCCAGTGCACAAATTTCATGCACAGGGCCTCTAGTAATTAATAAATAGTAATACAAGAATAAACTCTGTGTTTCATGTACTCACAGCTGTAAGCCTACTTTTGCCTGACCCTGTATACTCTTTGGTTAGATTTGAGCTCATATTTAAGTGTATTAATGAAATCACTTATTCATATAGCACATATTATTTTTACTGGCCGGTTTTATATGTTAGACACTGCTTTTTAGTGGGAGAGATGGATGTAAATAAACAAGAAAATATAAAATAACAATAAGACAATACTTCATGTGAATGACTGGCATTTGCTTTAGAAAGAGTAGTCAGGGAAGGCATCCCTGAGGATTGGGCTGGAGCTTGAATGATAAGAAGGTGCCAATCAAGGGGAAGATATGGGGGAAACAGCAGGTGCAAAGGCCCTGGGGCAGGAATGAGTGTGGTGAGTTTGAGTCCAGGGTGGGGAAGGAGTATGGGGAAGGGGGAGTGTGTTGAGGACTTACTAGAGATCAGCTCATAGGGCCTTGTAAGGGCTGGGTAAGGAAGTGAATTTGTATTCAGAGCCTATGAAGAGTTTTGAGGAGTGTGATATGATCTGTTTCATAGTTTTGAAACAACTTTAAACAGGCTGGAGGATGGATTTTAGTGGGGGTGAATGTGGGTCAATGTCTTCAGCCAAGGAAGCTTGAGTTTTCGTAGCCCCGCTCTATAGAAAAACAGCATAATTAAGTTCAAAAGTTCCATTTCAGTAAGGACAACAGGCAAAGGTTTTTAGGGACCCAGGGCATCAACCATTGCAGTGATTGTGCCTGGGGTTAAGCCATGAGACGTGAATGTAACCTAACAAATGAATTAAAGTCACGATGTGCTTTTATTTATAAAAATTAAGCGTTTTCAAATCTGACTGTCCTTCTGCTTAAAACATCCAGTGGACAGTGGTGGCAGAGGAGGCAATGACAGCCCCACATGCAGGACTGTCCACCTCAGCATGATGCCTTCCCAGGGCTGCCCACAGCCTTTGCAGGAGTATGTTCCCAAGTCAGATGACTAATCGTGCTTCGTGGTTTTTATGACATCTCTATGGAAACTCTTAGAAACACCTGGACTGGTGAGCTGTAGAATTATGCATCGAGTCTCCCTCCATGGCAGCCCATGCTCTGCTGTCCCTGGGTCTTGGCTGAACTATGCAGACTGCTCCCAGGGGCAGTGCCAGGGCGGTGGGGTTGGACTGGGGTGTGGGTCGGGCAGCCTGTGTCTGAATCTCTTCTTTGCTTGGAGCCGAGTTTTCCTAGACAAGGACTTAACCCCTCGGAGTTGCAGAGGTCTCACCTGTGACATAAGGGTGGTACTAGTGCCCGCCTCAGGGGTTACTGCAAGGCTCAGAGTCACATGCCCCTCAGGTAGCCAGCACAGTTCCTGGCCTGGGGCCAGCGCTTCACACTGTGTCAAGCTTTTGAAAGCCCTCTACACCCTCTCTATTTAAAAGGTGGCCCCAGAGGCAGCCATGCCCCTGGGAGATTGTCATAGAACCTCTACTCCAGACCTGCTGAGTCAGATTTTGCCCTCGAGCAAGATCCCGGGTGAGTCTGTGGGAAGTTTCCGTGGAAGTGCTCTCTAAGCCAACGTGTGGAGGAAGGAGCGTGGGGTCTGTTTTCAGTATGGAAACCTGTCAGCAGCACCACATGGTGCAAAGACTTCAGCCGCAGGACGCAAATGAGCCTAACTAGCTGGGCGTTCGTGGCCCACCATGCACCCTCCAGCCCAGAACTCAGTTCCTTCACCTGTAAAATGACTCACCTGTTTTAGAGGTTTGCTGAGAGAATAAATGAAATCATGTGAAAGCTGATATCCAAGGGTGAAAAGTTAGTTATTTTCCTGCTGTTTACCCAGAAAAGGGCGTCATGGCTCCTGTGGCTGTTAGTACAGTCTCCAGAGAGCCTGACTCCCTGTTGCCCACAGTGGCTCACCGAGTGGCAGTGGACACGACCTGCTATTTGGTGTCTCGATTAAACTAATGGAGAGTGACAGTGGCCCAGGAGCTACAGCCTGGTGTTCTCAGAACCTAAATGGGAGCGTTTTGTAGTTTGGCTAAAAGGCATTGCCCTAGAAAAGACGAGCGCTGTGGCAACGGATGCTTCTGTCACTGACAAACCAGTCAGAATTACAGTGTAACGGACGCTGTGCGGGAGTCACTGGATGCTTCCGGGTGGACCATTTAATGTCACACATTTAGCAGCCACAAAAGCCTTTTATTTATTTCCAAACATCACAAAGCAAGAAACAAAAGACAGTGTTTATATGAGCAGGCTGTCAAGTACACTGAAACCCCCAATATATTCCGGCACAAGAAAAACACACAACTGTACACCAAAGACACAGCGCAGGAGAACCCCTGGTGTGGGGGTGGAGTTCTCCAGGGAAGGAAAGGGTCTGACCAGGTGCAGAGCACACAGCATGCAGCGTATGCAGTGCTAGTGTCAGCAAATCTCGCCCGTGCTCACGGGAATGAATTGCTTTACTTGATAAGGTACAGACGTTGATAACAGGATCACCCCGACTTTAACACCACGCTGAGCAAAAGGAGCAGTAATCCCCCCAAATTTTCTTTCCTAGATAACATTTCAGGAAATCATGCAATAGAGACACAGTTACCATGAGCAAAAGCAAAGCTTCCAAGACAGTCGCATGCAATCCTACAATTTCTCAAACCTGAAACCACCATGAAGCAATCTCTGGAGACACGCCCCCTCCCATCCACCAGGCCCTCTTGTGTTAAAGGCAGAAAAGGAATAACAGGGAAAAGGCTTTTAAAATAGGGAAATATATACCTCAGGAGAGCAAGGCATCAAAATACTGTACACACGGGTATGTTCTGGTTTTCCAAAGCACGTGATCTCCTTTTCATTAGAATTTTGAAAGCTGCGTTAGGCTGAATGCATGAAACCCAACAACAAAAGCAACAACTCTAATAACAAAGGTAGGGGCATCGTGGGTCACATTTCGATGCTATTTTTCAGAGGAGGTTGGTGGGGGTATGAGGGTAGAAAGGATGTCGTGCTGCATCGCTTCTTTCACAAAGAGTTCATTGTTGTGGGGCAACTGTTGCACTGTGAACAGAATAACAGGATGGAAACTCAAGTGTCTTATGAAATAAGGGCAAAGCCATTGGAGCGGCTGGCAGTCTAGGTCCGGCGCGGTAAGAGGTTTGCTTGGGAGAGCTTCGACCCACCCTCTTGTCAATGAGAATCCTTCAGTCTGGACGACCCGAGGGGCGAGGACATGCCAGGAGGCGGGTGGGCAGGCAAGCGCTGCAAACCCTGGCTCATGGAATCAGCGCGCACAGCAGCCGAGCACAGCCTCCTCCCGTGGCTGTTGGGGAAATCAGAGACTTACCCATGTTGGGATCCTTTCAGAGAGCCTGTTACTTTCCATTTCCCTGTCAGAGGCTCTGCAAGCTTCAAAACAAGACGCACTCAACCTCGGCTGTTCACACATTCTGGCGTCTTCGATTCCCCCCCTCTTCTCTCTAAACACCTTAGCTGGCTGGAGGGTCAGCAGTGGCCGGAGGGACTGGCCTCTGGCCCGCGTCCTAGCCCAGGCTCACGCCGGGGCAGCAGCACAGGATCTCGCGGAAGGTGCTCCTCAGCTCGGGGCTGCGGAAGGCGTAGATGAGCGGGTCGATGACGGAGTTGCACATGATAAGCACCAGGTAGGTGTTGAAGTGCGCGGCGTAGCAGACGCAGGAGGGGTTGGTGGGGCAGGTGATGATGAGCACGAGGTGGAGGAAGAAGGGGGCCCAGCAGATGACGAAGACGCCCAGCAGGATGGTGATGGTGACGGCGCCCTTGAGGCTCGAGCGCTGCGGCGGGGCCGCCCCGATGGCGGGGGGCAGCGCGGCGATGCGCCGCACGTGCAGCCGCGCGAAGAGGCACATGTGCACGTAGAGGGTGCCCATGAGCAGCAGCATGGCGAAGAACAGGGTGACGAGGCACACGATGACCATCTTGCTCTCCGAGTAGACGATGAACACGACGCCGCAGACGCCGCAGCACAGCCAGACGGCCACGATCAGGGCGCGCGCCCGGCGCACCGTCACGATACTGTGGTAGCGCAGCGCGTAGAAGATGGTGACGTACCGGTCCACCGCGATGGCCAGGAGGTTGCAGATGGAGGCCACCAGCGAGATGCAGATCATCGAGTCGAAGATGTTGTCCATGTGCTGCACGAAGCGGTCCTCCAGGGCCAGCGAGCCGCTGTTGACCACGGCGATCATGATGGTCTCCAGGGCGTTGGACACGCTCACCAGCATGTCGGCCGCGGCCAGGCTGCAGAGGAAGAAGTACATGGGCGAGTGCAGGTTGCTGTTGCGGGCCACCGCCAGGATCACCAGGACGTTCTCCAGCAGGCTGACGCTGCCCAGCGCCAGGAACACCCCGGGCTGGATGAACACCTGCTCGCAGTACCCGCGGCCGCTCTGGTTGCCGGAGGAGGGGGCGTCCCGGAGCTCCGAGCTGTTAGGCTGCCCCGGCTGAGCAGAGGGCAGGAAGCACGAGGCGTTCATCGTGGACACAGGCTGACCGAGCTGGGCTGCGGCCGGGGGCATAGGCTGCTGCTGCTGCTGCTGCTCCTCACAGGAGGCAAGAGTTTCCTCCAGATGCTTGTGAGGGATGCTCGTCCTGTGCAGACTCGGATTCTGTTCTCCCAGATGGAAGGATGGGGAGCGAGCGAGCTGGGAGGTACACAGAGAACTTTCCCTGCTGCTCCAGGGCGAGCAGTTTTATGCGGACTCTTCTGCCGTCTCCCTCCTTTCCCCTCCTTACTCCATCGCCATCCCCACTTGGGAACAGAAAACCTGCCACCGGTTGCTACAGTTACGGCTCCTTTCCTGGCAAGACAGGGGATGTAGTACCTGTTGTTGGAAGTGAGGGGTGAACACTCACTTTTCATACATTGGCTGGTGGCAAACAACTCCTACTTAATCTCCAGCGCCGCGAAATGACCACTGAGCACCCGGAGGCTCTGTGACTGACAGCAGGTAGGCTCCCAGGGTTTGGGCAGGGGATCGGAAAGCAGGCTGGTGCCCCCTGCTGGAGAGACTGCGCATCTGTTTGCTGGCTTTTCTGAGCAGTTTGTGGTTTGTCCTGGAAGCTGCCACAGGCATCCATTCATCCATTTACTTGTTCATTCATTCATTTTGAAAGTAAACATTTACTGCGCACCTATTCTGTGTCAGGTCTCTGCTGCTGGGCGCATAAGTTTATGGTGAGCAAGACAGACATGCTCTTCTTGTTTTCACCCAAACTTGGAGTCTGGGGTGGGAGACAAGAAATCAGGGAACTAAGTCTGTGTGATAAACGCTTGAATGGGGAGGGCCAGGGGGATGCTGGTGGATGAGCCGGGGCCCTAATCTGAATGGCAGAGGAAAGTTCTGAACAAGGAGCGTCTCAGCCTGGACTCTAAGGAAGAAGAGGCCATGTGGGGTGGAGAGGTGGGGGCTGGGGTTGGAGGAGGGTTCCAGCTGGAGAATGACAGCCCACCATTCGGAGGGAAGGGCAGTGGATCTTCACGCTGGCGTGGGGACCATCCGGAGGATGTGGGTGCAGAGGTCCCACCTGGCCTGTGAGTGAGAATCATGTGTGGGTGATTTTGAGAGGTGAGCAGGGGCGTAGCCAGAGTTTCCATCTGCTGAAAGGGAACCTTGGTGTTTTTGAAGAAATGAAAGTAGTTTGCTCTGCCTGGAGCATGGAGCTGGGGGACACAATCTGAGAAATGAGGCTGTAGTTTTTTATTTTATTTTAAAGATGAGAAGTGCCCTTTTAAAAAGGATGATTTCAGCCTTATTTGGGAGTTTGAAAGTGGTGGGAGCTGTGGAAGGAAGGGTTCTAGGTAGAGCAGGGATGAGGTGGGTCTGCATTTAGAAGGATTCCTGGCTGCAGAGTGGAGACTAGATGGGATGGGGAGGAGTGAGGAGCCAGGCAGGCCAGGGCTGCAAAGAGCCAGGGCCAGATGATAGTGGCCAGAATCAAGGAGGCGGCCCTGGCATCCTGGGAGGAGTGGGCAGAGAATGTGGGAGGGAGGATCATGGAGGTTCCAGAGTGCTTGGGTATGGGACTGTGGGGAAGGGAGTGGGCGGGAACACCCACCTCCTTCTTAAGCAACAGGGAGGATGGAGATGCCCTGGGAGCTGGAAACTGTAAAAGGCAGATTTGAGCAGTTGACTGTAATACGTGGTTCATGTAGGGCTTGATGCTGCACAGAAGGATTGTGCAAAGTCTGGAAACACTGAATCTGCTTGCACCTACACACACACACACACACACACACACACACACACACACAGAGATGCATGCACACACAGACACACACCCACACATTCCAGGTGGATTAATGAGCCATCTCATGATCATCTAACTATGTGGGTACATGAGTGTGGGTGTATGTAAGTATGAGACAGGAGAAATATGCATATGGAAATATAAAATTTAGAATATTTATAAAACTTTGGAGTGGAGAGCTCTTAGTAAGATGGGCAACCCAAAATTTAGTATGAGCAAAAGGACCATAAGCCAAGTGAGAGACAAACAGGAAGAAAATGTTTGCCATGGGCAAAAGTTACTGTCTCTTATAGAAACAATACCTGCACATTAATAAGAAAAAGATGAATTAGCTCTTAGAAAATTGGGCAAAAGATACAAATGGAAATTCACTGAACAAGAAATGCAAATGTCTAATAAACATATGAAAAGATGTTCAGCCTTCTGGGGGAGTCAAGGAAATGAAAATCAAACCGAGACTTCCATACCATTTTCCCAGTTAGATTGACAAGAATTAAAAAGATGTCAAGCTCAGGAGAGAATATTGGGGGAAGGACTCTCAGGCATACCTGTTGTTTGTGATAGCGTCACCGTTTGCCAGTGTCTACCAATGTACAAATCGTGCCTGGGTGTGGATCTCAGTCTATAAACTGAAGGGCATGAGAAATACCACTTCTTTTTGTTTTCAGCAGAGCAGCATCTGATGTTAAACCAACCGATCTCCCAGGCTGGGGAGAAACACAATCTCAATCCGTTTGAGGCTTCCCCTCCCTCCTCACCTTCACGGTCACCTCCAGAGGTGCCTTTATGGTGTCTTGGTCTGAGGTTTCAGGGGCACTGGTCTTACCTGGACCACCAGGACCGCTCGGTGCTTTCCCTGCCCTGGGCCTGGCACGTGCCCAGCTCGGACACCTTCATATGCCTCCACTCTCTGATTCTCTGCCTCCTGTACAGAGAGCAGTGGGGCCTGGCACTTCAACTCCTCATCCTAAGAGTATCCTCCTTGCTAATGAGTGTCAATTTGGTCTTCTCTAAACGCTCCTTCCACTTACCTGGGGGAGCCGTGCAGATGCAGAATGACTCCCTAATGGAATCTTCTAGAAACCAATTGGCTTTATTTGTTCATTTAAAAAAAATATTTTTATTGATTTCAGAGAGGAAGGGAGAGGGAGAGAGAGAAAGAAATATCAATGATGGGAGAGAATCACTGATAAAGCTGCCTCTTGCACACCCCACACTGAGTATTGAGCCCACAACCAGGGCATGTGCCCTGACCAGGAACCAAACTGTGACCCTTCTAGTTTATAGGTTGATGCTCAATCACTGAACCACACCCCCAGGCCAAATTTACTTTATTAATAACAATCATAAGGCATGACAGTCTCGCCAGTGTTTATTGTATGTTGTCGGCACATATGGGGGTATCTGCTTAGAATCTATTATAATAAACTGTAATAAGGAGATTTTTTAACTATGAATTTTATTTTGTTTATTTATGTTTTAAAAATCTTCATTGTTGAGATTATTACAGAAGTCCCCCCTTTTCCTCCCATTGGCCCCCCTCCACCCCAGGTTACTGCCCTGCTCCAGGCCTTCACCCCCTACTGTTTGTGACCATAGGTAAGATCTTTGGTTACTCTCTTTCTGCCTCCCACCCTTCCCTCTAAGATTCATCAGTCTGTTCCATGTTTTCATGCCTCTGATTCTATTTTATTCACCAGTTTACTTTGTTCATTAGATTTCTTGTTTATTTTGATTTTTAGACTCGATTGTTGATAGATATATACTTATTGCCATTTTATTGTTCATATTTTTAATCTTTTTCTTCTTCCTCTTCTTAAAGAATACCCTTTAACGTTTCATGTGATACTGGTTTGGTGGTGATGAACTCTTTTAGCTTTTTCTTGTCTGTGAAGCTCTTTATCTGACCTTTAATTCTAAATGATAGCTTTGCTGGGTAGAGTAATCTTGGTGATAGGTCCTTGCTATTCATCACTTTGAATATTTATTGCCACTCCCTCTGGTCTGAAAAGTTTCTGTTGAGAAATCAGCTGACAGTCATATGGATACTCCCTTGAAGGTAACTAACTGCTTTTTTCTTGATGCTTTTAAGATTCTTTCTTTGTCTTTAACCCTTGGCATTTTAATTATGATGTGTCTTGGTGTGGACCTCTTTTGGGTTCCTCTTGTTTGGGACTCTGCAATTCCTGAACTTGTAAATCTATTTCTTTCACCAGGTAGGGGGAGTTTTCTGTCATTATTTCTTCAAATAGGTTTTCAATATCTTCTTTTCTCTCTTCTCCTTCTGGCACCCCCATAATGCGAATGCTGGTACACTTGAAGTTGTCCCAGAGACCCCTTACACTATCTTCATATTTTTGGATTCTTTTTTCTTTTTGCTCTTTTGATTGGGTGTTTTTTGTTTCCTCATATTACAAATCATTGATTTGATTGTCAGAATCATCAACTCTACTGTTGCAACACCTCAAATGATTCTTTATTTCAGTTACTGTATGCTTAATTTCTGATTGGTCATTTTTCATGTCTTTGACATTCTCACTAATTTCCTTAAAAGTCTCACTAAGTCCCTTGAAGCTCTCATGAAGATCCTTGAGTAACTTTATAACCATGGTTTTAAACTCTATATCTCGTAGTTTGCTTGCTTCCATTTCTTTCATTTGTGACACGTTTCTTTGTCTCTGCATTTTGCTTGCGTCTGTGTTCGTTTCTACCTATTATGTAGAGCTGCTATGTCTCCTGGAATTGGTAGAGTGGCCTTGTGTAGTAGGTGTCCTTTAGGGCCTAGTGGCTCAGCCTCCCCAGTCACCTGAGTGCCCCTATGTGGGCTGTGTGCACAGTCTTGTAGTTGAGCCTTGATTGCTCTTGGTGTCACTGGGAGGAATTGACCTCCAGGCCAATTGGCTGTGAGGACCAGCTGCAACTATAGTGGGAGAGCTGCTGTGCAGGAAACACACCTATGGAGCAGGCTTTGGTGCTCACTGAGTCTGCCTCTTTTGTGTGTCGCTTGTGGATGTGTAGAGTTGTAATCTGGTATGGTCTGAAGCTGTCCACAAGGTTCACTGGTTCTAGGGACTTCAGGGAAGTGCAAAGTCAGCCACTGCCTGGGGCCACCTGGCAGGAGCTATAGAGAGATCTGCAGATGGCTGCTATTTTTATTGGGCTTGGAAGTGCCCAGGTGAGGCCCAGCTGTGAAGCAAGGCAGGCTTGTTCTGGTGCCAGGTCTTAGGCCCTTTATTGATAGGTTTGGGGTATGCTGAGATCAGTTGTAGTTTGTTTGAGAGATTTTAGCAAAGACTAAAGCCTGATCCATGACAGGCCATTCATATAGAAAAGTTGCTGCAAGAAGCTTGGGTGGGGCAGGATCTCACGGAATCACCAGGGTGGTGCAAATAGTGTGAGCCAGGCTGGCGGAGACTTAGACATGGCCCCTGCCAGTCAGCTCTGTGACAGGGGAGGTCCCAACACAGGAACAATGACCCCTGAGAACACCCCCATCTGGGAGAAAGCTGTCTTCTTATTCCTGCCCTGATACCAGATAATCCAGTTTCTCTCTGTATGTGTCTGGGTCCCCCAAAGCCACCCAGCACTGGAGCTCAGAGGGATTGAGCCTGAGTAAGTCTGTACACTGGCCCTTCAAGAGGATCTTCTGGGACTCCAGCAGCCTCT